GTTTACAATGTCAAGTGAAAAAGCCTAATCACTGTGCTTACCATAACAGCCATGTAAGAGGATGAAGTTAGTTATAATGCACTCAAATGACCTACACTGTCTGCAACATAACATTATTACATTAATACAGACACATTATTATATTTTACATAAATAATACTATTATTACAGTTAACTCTTCTCACCCTAACACTACTCCTTCAATTTTAATCATGATTCACTATAGGCAAAATGAAGTTTCAGGGCACTGATCTAAAACATTTACCTGCAGGTAGCAGGTGTATTGTTGTCTGAGATGGTCCACTTGTTGGAACCCCAGATGGTTGAATTGGGGGTGCTGGCTGTATGGGCTGCAAAGGTCTACTCACAGTCTGAGAAGAACCAACAGTTGATACAGGAGTATGAATTGACTTTTTAGGATCTGTAAATTAAGTGAGTTATTATGATTATTGAAAGAAAAAATCAGAAGTGCAACTCTGTTAAAATAGACTATAAATTTTCTCTTGTAATTATGTATATTTTTATCAATTTAAAAATTGAGCCAGGAAGCTGCAGAAATTTTTTGTTCATCACAGATTCTTTTTTAAAAACAAAATTTATATATTTTATATTAGTTTGCTCACAACGTTTACACTGTGTTTCACACTACTCTTCATTCATACTGTATTTCATAAAATCATTCCCATGCATTACGCTTTATAAAATCAATCATCATTGAACCTTACTCATCAATACTCAAATCTCTGCAGGTCCCTGCTGGATCCTTCATATTTCCTTTAGGCTTTACCTCCACCTACCAAAATGTGTAACCCTGTGGTTTCACCCTTACCCATCCTCATCTCACCTCTTCTCCTCGAGTCTTCACATACATGTTTTATTAGTTAAACTTCTATTTTTACAATTATGACATTATGCACTATTTGTCCTTATGAGACTGAGTTATGTCAGTCAACATTATGTTCTCCAGTCTCTCCCAAGTTATGTAGTATTATTCAAAATCGGTGTTCCTGAGTGCTGTATGGTATTCCACTGTGTGAATACCAGAATTTCTCAATCAACACAGTTGCACTTGGACTTCTGGGTTGTTTCTATGTTTTGGTGATGGAGAATAACACTGCTATGAACACTGGTGTACAAATCTGTGTCTCAGTTCCAACTTCCTTGGGATATTCCTAGTAGTGGAAAAGCTGGGTCATATGTAGCTTCTACTTTTTGAGGAAATTCCAAACTGTCTTCCAGAGTGGTTGTACCATTTTATAATCCCACCAACAGTGTATGAGAGTTCCCACCTCTCCACATGCTCTCCAACACCTACGTTCTTCTGGAATCTATTAGCTAGGATTTTGTGAAACATTTTTGCATCTATGTTCATGAGAGATATTGGTCTGAAGTTTTATTTCTTGGTAATATCTTTGCCTGGTTTTTGCATTAAGAGTTATGCTTGCTTCATAGAATGTCTCTGGGAGTGTTCCTTCTTTTGCTACTTTTGTGAAATAATTTAAATAGAATAGAGTTGGTGATAAATCTTCTCTGAATGTAGAATTCAGCCACGAAGCCATCTGATCCAGGACTTCTTTTGTGGGGGAGTCTTTATGACCTGTTCAATTTCTTCTTTTGTGACGGGTCTGTTCAAGTGTTTCACATCTGTCCATGTCAATCTTGGTAGGGCATGAGTTTCAAGGAATTTGTCCATTTCTTCTAGTTTTCAAATTTATCAGAATATAGCTTTTCACTATATGTCAGAATTAAAGATACAATTTCCTCTGGTTATGTTAAGTCACCTCTATCATCCTTCAATCAAGTTATTTGTGTCTTCTCCGTTTCTCCTCTTCTGTTAAATCTGCCAATGATGTGTCAATTTTATTGACCCTTTCAAAAAACCAGCTCTTGGTTTTGTTGGTTTCAATTCTTTTTTGTTTTCTATCTGACTTCCAACTCTTCCTATAATCTCCTTTCTTCTAGAGTCTGTGGGGTTCGATTGTTGTTCTTTTTCTATTTGATAACGGTGTTGAGTTAGATCATTAATTTTGCTTCTTTCTTCGTTTTTATGTGTTTGCCTAGACATATAAACTTCCCCTGAGCACTGCCTTAGCTGCATCCCAGAGGTTTCGGTATGTTGAAATTACATTACTGCCTGTTTCAAGCAACTTTTTAAAATTTCATTATTTCTTCTATAACACAGTCATGTTCTAGCACAGAGTTATATAGTTTCCACATATAAGTTTTATCCTCTTGTGGTTAATTTCAAATTTTATGGTATTATGGTCTGAGAAGATATTTTGTATTATTTCAGTGCTTTTCAATTTGTTGAGTCTTGCTTTGTGCCATTGTATGTTATCAATTCCGGGAAATGTTCATGTGCACTTGAGAAGAAAAGCGAATTGAGTTTTAATTGGGTGCTGTACTTGCAATACATCCGTAAGTTCAAGTTGGTTGGATGTGCAGTTTAGATCTTCTGCATCTTTGTTAAATTTCTTTTGAGTTGACCTGTACTTCAGTGATAGTGATAGTGGTGTGTTGAAGTCTCCTACCACTACTGTGGGGCTATTTCTTTTAATTATGTTAACTATTATTTTAAGTAGTATGTATGTCTATCATTTGGTGCATAAATGTTGACAAGTCTTCTTGATCCACTGTGACTAATCATTATATAGTGCCCTTCCATATCTTTTATGGTGGTTTTCATTCTGAAACCTATTTTATTAGAGATTAGTAGTGCCACTCCTGCTTTTTTGTGGATGCCATTTGCTTGGTATATTTTTTCCCCAGCCTTTGGTTTGAGTTTATGTCTCTTCATTTCTTAGATGTATCTCTTATAGATAACATACTGATGGCTTTCTTTTTTTAGTCTGCTTTTTTTTTCTCTTGATTAGAGCATTTAGTCCAGTCACATTAAGTGGACTACTGACAAGCCATGTTTTATCGTTGTCATCGTGCTTGTTTCCTTTTTTTTGTTCTTTCTTATTCCTAAGGTCCATCCACTTCCTTTTATTGTCTTTGTGTGAAGGACTTCCCTTAAAACTTCTTTTAGAATACAAACTTTGTAAGTAAATCAGTATACAATAAAAATTTTAGTTTAAAAAAAGTTATTTTAGATGTGGTCATGTTTTCACAAATTCCTTTAGTTCTTTCTTTTCTACAAAGAAAAAGTTCTTTCTTTTCTACAAAGAAAAAGTTCTTTCTTTTCTATCTCCTTCATGTGTTTTGCTGGGTACAGAATCCTTAGTTGGCAATTGATTTACAACTTTCAGTATATGCCATCCCATTGTCTTCTTCCTTGCATGGTTTCTGCTAAAAAAAACCCAGAACTTAATTTCAGTGCTTTTCCTTTGTTGGTGATTTATTTTTCTTGTGCTGCTTTTAGTATTCTATTCTTATCTTTTGTTTTGGAGAATTTGATTGTCTTGATGCTTTTCTTTTTAGGTCTAGTCTATTTAGTGTGCACTGAGCTTCTTTAATGTGGATTTCCTCTTTCTTCAAAATACCTGGGAACATTTCTTCTGGTACCTCTTCCACAATTTCTCAGTGATTTCCCTGCCCTTCTGGTATTCTGAACTTCCAATAATATGTATTTTGTTCCTTTTGATGTCATCCCACATGATTCTAATGTTTTCTTTCATTTTCTCACCTCTGATTTTTCTTCTAGTATGCTTCTGTTGAGGTTCTTATCTTCCTGTTCCATCTCTTCTGTTCTACTTCTTTGTCCCTCCAGTACATTAGACACATCTGTCATTTTGGTCTTAATATTCTGGATTGCATTTTCATATATTTCTGATATTTCCAGTACAGTGTTGGCTGTACCCTCTCTATCTCATGATTTTTTTTTAAGTGCTTTTACCTCTTTATCTACAGTTTCAATTCTTTCTTCCATTTTTTGCATTTTCTTCCATAGTTGTGCAACTTCCTCCTCATCAGTATGTTTTTTCTGGCTCTGCGTCTCAGGAGTGTTTTGCTTTCTTAGTAGTTCCCACTGGTTCTTTCATGATTTGTACCTTCTTCTGTAGCTCTTCAAATAACTCTTATCAACATATTTTTCTGGTTCTCTACCTCTAGAGTATTCCATTTATTTGTGTCTTCCATTATTTTTTCCATCATTTGTACTTTCTTTCATTGTTGTTCGAATGTCTCCATATGAACATATATCTGCCTTATTGACTATGGGGTATTTTATTTGGTCTGTAATATTCTCTGCTTTTTTTGGGAGAAGGCTTAATTTGTTTTCTCACAGTGTTTGAAGCTGCCTATTCCTTCCTCAACATTATGTTAAGTTTTCCTATTTTTTCCCCTTCCTGTGTGATTAACTGAATCGGAAAACCTTCCAGAGTGTCAGCTACAGGTTAAATGTTGGCGTCATTCATTACTAGTATTGCATTCGTGCCAATATGATTATTCTTGAAAAGCTTCGTATTATTTGTATTGCTTACAAGGGTTTTGCTGTTGTGGATTGTTTTGTTTTGGTTTTTTTAGACAGACTGTCAAAGTATATTTGATTCCTCAAACAAAAACTTTTCAAAAAAAGGTGGGTTTGGTTTTTTTAAAAAGTGAATAAATTAGAAATGATGTTCAGATAGTACATGCGTGTGTGTGTGTGTGTGTGTGTGTGTGTGTGTTGTGTTAGGTGCTATCAAGTTGGACTGACTCATAGCTCATGTTCCAGTGTGTGTTTGGAGACTGTGAATTGCATGGGAGGAGAATGCCCATCTTCATTCCTTGATGTAGCCAGTAGATTTGAACAACAGAATGAAATGCTTCCAACATGCATTAGTTAATTCCAAAAAGAGTACAAAGCACCCAGTGTAAAGCTGTAGAGATCTGTCGCCAGAAAATATTAGTGCACTAAGACAGAAAAATAAATTATATAAAAGCATTCTTCCTAGTACAATTACTATTTTATATTTAGTACCTTGTGAAGTGCTGCTCTCTTCATCATCCATTGTGAGGTCAATGATACCTCCTGAATCACTTGTTGTGGCTTTCCCAGTCTAAAAAACAAAATTCTTACAGAGTAAATTCTGACAGTGAAATAAAAAGGAGGCAACAGAAGGATAAGTACCATGGTTCAATCTGAAAAGGTTTTACCTGAAGAAACAGCTCAAATAAAATGTCCCAAGATACATAATGAATTAAACCTTTCCTAAAAAAGATAATTTTCAAATACTTCCAAAAGAAATTCTGGAGGTTCCTAAAATTAATCTAGCAACTTCACAAAGTTTTAAGAGTGACTAAATGTTTTCAAGTTGTAAATAATTTAAACACAAAGTTCCCTGATTTTCCAATGTTGACCAGTCCTAAGTTAACTCAATCCACCAAAGATAATTTTTAAAGTTATTACTGTTGTTGTTATGTGCCGTCGAGTCATTTGCAACTCATAGCGACCCTATGTACAACAGCCCTAAACCCTGCTCTATCCTGTGCCAATCTCATTGCCTCTGACACACACATCCCGATTACCCCAGTCACTGAATCAATCCACCTCATAGAGGATCTTCCCCTCCTGCGCTTGTCCCTCCACTCCACCCAGCATGATTTACCTCTCTAAAGACCTGTCTCTCCTTACAACCTGTCCAAAGTATGTCAGGCGAAGCCCCAGAATCCTTGCCTCCAAGGAGCAGCCTGGTTTAACCCTCTCTAGGATGAATCTGTTTGTTTTCTTGGCAGTCCATGGTACATTCAATACTCTTCTCCAACACCACAGCTCAAAGGTGTCAATTTTCCTTCTATCCTCCCTAGTCATTGTCCAACTCTCTGATGCATAACAAGTGATTGCAAAGACCATGGCCTGTATCAGGCGCACCTTAGTCTCCAGAGAGATACTGTTGCTCTTGAGTACTTTAGAGAGGTCCCTAACAGCAGACTTTCCCATCGCAATACGTTTTTTTATTTCCTGGCTGCTGGTGCCAAGAGTGTTGACCATGGAGCCGAGCAAACTGAAGCTGTGAACAATCTCAATCTCTTCGCCATCCATCCTGATGCTAAATGATATGGTACATACATATTATGTATATGCTACTGAGCAAACAGGGCAAAATTAGGAAAACAACTTAGTCATAAACAAAAACCTTGAAAGAACAAGTCATGAGGCAAAAAACAGTAAAACACTTAATTCACTGTGTGCCAGGGAGCCTTTTATAAGAATTGTTTTTGATTGCCTTTAAGTTGAGCAGGACTCATAGCAACCCTACGAACAAAAGGTCTGAAGCCCTTCTACAACTATCGACATTTAGCAAAGTTCATAGAGTTTCCAGAGGTATGTTATTTAGGAAGTGGATGCCACTCCTAGTAGCATCAATATGTTAAGAATTTACAACAATTGTGATTGCAGCACAGTTTCTTGCCACTGGGCCACCAGAGATGCCTGTAGTAGTTTCGCTAGTAGGTGCTTTAAAATTTTAGTATTATAAAAATTAAATTAAGTGCTAGTATGCTACCAGAAAGACAAAGATTTTTCTTACCCAAAGATATTTCTTGTTGTTGTTAGGTGCCATCAAGTCAAGTACAACTAATAGAGACCTTATGAACAAAAGATCTGAACCTAGTCCTATCCTGCGCCATCCTCGCACTTCCTGACACACAAGAGCCCATTGCATCATTCACCATGTCAATCTACCTGGTTGAGGGTCTTCCTCTTCTTCAACGACCTTCTACCCTTCCCAGCCTCATGTCCCTCTCCAAGGAATAGCACCTCCTGGCAATACATTCAAAGTACGTGAGGTGAAGCTTCATCATTCTTGCCTCCAAAGAATACTCCAGCTGGGCTCTAAGACCTATCTATTCATTCTCTTGGCCGTCCATGAGATGATCAGTGCTCTTCTCCAACATCACAGCTCTAAGGCGTCAATTCTTTTCCTGTCATCCTTACTCACTGTCCAGGTCTCAGATGCATAGTTAGTAACTGGAAACACAAGGACTTGAATCACATGCACCTTAGTCCTCAAAATGACATCACTACTCATCAATAACTTACCAGTGCAATGTTCCTCCTTATTTCCTGATTGCTCATACCAAGAATGTTAATTGTAGAGTTAAGCAAGATGAAGTTGTTGAGAGTTCCAATCTCCTCTCCATCCATCATGACACTATTGGTCCAGTGGTAATAATCTTGATATTGAGATGTAATTCATACTGAAGGCTGTATTCCTTGATCTTCTCCAACAAATGCTTCAAATTCTCCTCACTTTCAGCAAGCAAGGTTATGGCATCTGCATAATGCAGGTTATTAATGAGTCTCTCTCCAATCCTGATATTACACTCCTCTTCAGAGTCCAGCTTCTCGGATAACTTGCTCAGCATACAGACTGAACAGGTACAAAGAGACACACTCGCTTCCCAATCCCAAACCATGCAGTGTTCCCCAGCTCCATTCGCATAACAGCCTCCAAGTATAGGTTTCTCATGAACACAATCAAGTTCTCTGGGATTCCCATTCGTCTCAATGTCAGCCACATCTTGCCATGATCCACAGAGTCAATAAAGAACATATAGACATTCTTCCAGTACTCTTTACTTTCAGCCAGGATCCACCTGAAGTCAGCAATGATATCCTTGGTGCCACAGTCTCTTCTAAGTCTTGTGTGAACTTCTGGCAATTCCCTATCTAGGTACTGTGTCAGCCCTTTTTTGAATACTCAGCAGTATTTTGCTTGCATGTTATCACACTGGTGTTGCTCGATAATTTCCACATTCAGTGAAAATTTCGATTCCTGAGGCCTTATTTTTTTTTGCCAATGCCTTGAATGCAGCTTCTACTTCCTCTTTCATTACCATTGCCTCCTGTTCATATGGTACTTCCTGAAATTTTTCAGTATCAATCAATTCTTTCTGGTACAGTGATTCTGTACATTCCCCCCATCTTTTGATGCTTTCTGCATCATTCAATCTTTTACCCATAGTATCTTTCAACATTACAACATGTTGATTCAGTTCTTTCAGTTTCAGAAATGCAAAGCAAGTTCTTCCCATCTTGTTCCCCAATTCCAGCTCTCTGCACACTCCATTATAATACTTTACTTTGTCCAAACGAGCTGGCCTTTGAAATCGTCTGTTCAGCTCTTTTACTGTGACATGTTTTCCTTTAGATTTGGCTTTTTGATGTTCCAGTGCAATCTTTAGAGTCTCTTCTGACATTCCTTTCCATGTTTTCTTTCTCCTCTGCTTTTGTAATGACCTTTTGCTTTCTTCATGGATGATATCCTTTATCATCCTACAACTCATCTGGTCTTCTATCAATGGAGTTCAATGGCCCAAACCTTACGATGAGCATAAAATGCCGATGGAATTGATTCAAGATCATATCTTGATTCTTCAACGAGATGGAAAAGGCAATCTCCAATTTCGTATGGAATGGGAAAAAGCCCCGAATAAGCAAAGCACTCCTTAAGAATAGAAGA